ACCCACCAGTCCACTAACACCCAGGATGTGACCCACACCAGTCCCCTAACACCCAGGATGTGACCCACACCAGTCCACTAACACCCAGGATGCCACCCACACCAGTCCACTAACACCCAGGATGGACCCACACCAGTCCCCCTAACACCCAGGATGCACCCACACCAGTCCACTAACACCCAGGATGTGACCCACACCAGTCCACTAACACCCAGGATGTGACCACACCAGTCCACTAACACCCAGGATGTGACCCACACCAGTCCACTAACACCCAGGATGTGACCCACACCAGTCCACTAACACCCAGGATGCCACCCACACCAGTCCACTAACACCCAGGATGTGACCCACACCAGTCCACTAACACCCAGGATGTGACCCACACCAGTCCACTAACACCCAGGATGCCACCCACACCAGTCCACTAACACCAGGATGACCCACACCAGTCCACTAACACCCAGGATGTGACCCACACCAGTCCACTAACACCCAGGATGTGACCCACACCAGTCCACTAACACCCAGGATGCCACCCACACCAGTCCACTAACACCCAGGATGTGACCCACACCAGTCCACTAACACCCAGGATGGACCCACACCAGTCCCCTAACACACCCGGGATGACCCACACCAGCCACTAACACCCAGGATGCCACCCACACCAGTCCATAAACACCCAGGAATGTGACCACAACCAGTCCACTAACACCCAGTGTACCATTTACCAGTCCACATAACAACCAGATGTTAAAAAGGAGTGGAGGCTCGTTGCACCCTCGCGGCATGCAAACCAGTCCACTCGACAAAGCCAGAGTTTTAACCACCCCGTCACGGGGCACCAAAGGGTACCAACTTGGTTCATAATCCAATGATGTCACAGTGGCCCACCAGTCCAAACAACACAGATGGTTGACAATCAGAAGTAGTTATTAGCCTCAGTCTGATCAATGTAATCAGTTTCCATTCTTAAAACAGTTGTTAGTATCCAAACTAGTCCATAAAAACAAGGTCCACCTCAGTATCCACTAAAACTGCGTTACAGTGGTACCCCCGCATCAACCGTCCTCTAACACCATTATGTATGTTGTATTTATGTATGGTTTTGAGTATTCCAGTCTAAAGGCAACTCCTCAATATGCCCTACCGGGAATACATTCGTCCAGCATGTGCCCTGAAGCCCAATTCTATGAACCAACATATCAACGGGGAACCAAATGTACTTTAAAATACAACAAAAGATTAATTGCCATGTCTCTGTACATATCGTGTGGTTATCGAGTCAATTTCCCTAAAGATTGGTTATAGATCAAAGTGAAGTTTTGAGGTATCGTTCCAGTCTTAGAGTTCATATGAATCAGTGCCCAGTAAAACAGGAAAAGACTGATTTATTTAATAAACTAGGGCTGACAAGTTCAACAGATCTATTGAACCAAGTAGGACCCAAACTGAGGTACAGGGAGGACCTGCAATAACGATTACTTAGAAGGAGACACCATAGTAAGTGTAATATGTAAGGACCGTTGTACGCTGATATGTATGGTCGTGAAAGGATAATCTATCAAATTTCCTTAGGGAAAATTGAGTTACACGGAACCAGAAACTTTCTGGGGGGGTGAAAAAAATTTTTAACCGGGGGACAGCGGTAAACAAAAATGGGTGTCTGTCATTTCGGTGTGAAGTTTTTTGACCTTCCTCTTAGTTTTGTGGTTTTTTGTTTTTTAGGGGGACAGGGGGCCCCAAAAGTTTAAAAACCTGTCCGGGGCCCAAACCCGCAAAAATGGAATTGATAAGGAAAATCACTGTTTATGAAAGCCCAAAATCATTTTTCCAAGACCCCTCTGGAAAAGGAAGACAAAATGAGAAAATTTTTAAAAAAAAAAACGGCCAAGATTAAATTAAGAAGACTAATGATAACAGCGGGAAAAAAACGGAGGGAAAGGGTTGGGGCCCTAGAAAAAAACTTAAGCAAAGCCCGAAGGTTGGAGGGAAAGGGCCAACCCAAAATTTAAAGGGGAAGATAAACAAGAGAGGGGTGGGTAGACTGCATTTTCTTGGACTGTAAGAAGGTGTGACACAGTTCCACATAAGATTAGTGAAAAGCTGGAGGACCAGGCAGGGATAACAGGGAAGGCACTGCAATAGATCAGGGAATACCTGTCAGGAAGACAACAGCAAGTAATGGTATGCAGATAAGTGTCAGAATGGGCACCTGTGATGAGCGGGATTCTACAGGAGTCAGTCCTAGGACCGGTGCTGTTTCTGGAATTTGTGAATGACATAATGGAAGGAATAGTCTCAAAAGTGTCCCTGTTTGCAGATGATGTGAAGTTGAAGAGAAGACTTCAATCGGATGAGGACCAGGCAGAACTACAAAGGGATCTGGACAGGCTGCAGGCCTTGTCCTGCACTGGCTCCTGGAGTTCAACCCCACTAAGTGCAAAGTTATGAAGATTGGGGAAGGGCAAAGAAGACTGCAGACGGAGTATAGTCTAGGGGGCCATAGACTACAAACCTCACGCAAGGAAAAGGATCTTGGGGTATAACACTGGGCACATCTCCTGAGGCGCACATCAACTAAATAACTGCTGCAGCATATGGATGCCTAGCAAACCTAAGAACAGCATTCCAACATCTCAATAAGAAGTCATTCAGGACCCTGTACACCGTGTACGTTAGGCCCATATTGGAGTATGCAGCACCAGTTTGGAACCCACACCTAGCCAAGCACCTAAGGAAACTAGAGAAAGTGCAAAAGTTTGCAACAAGACTAGCCCTGGAGCTAAGGGGCATGCCCTATGAGGAGAGGTTAAGGAAAATCAACCTGACGATGCTGGAGGACAGGAGAGAGAGGGGGAATATGATAAGATATAAAATACCGAGAGGAATCAACAAGGTGAACAGAGACAGGATGTTCCAGAGATGGGACACAGCAACAAGGGGTCACAGTTGGAAGTTGAAGGCTCAGATGAATCACAAGGATAGTAGGAAGTGTTTCTTCAGTCACAGAGTTGTCAGGAAGTGTAGACAGCCTGTACTGTCTGTATAGACAGCCTATGCTGTCTGCCAGCTGAGTTCATATTTCATGTCATGCTCGTGCTGCCACCTATAGGCCTATGTCACTTCAGTATGCCCAGACCTCCCTCACTCTCACTCTCTCAGCAGCCTTCATTCAGTCAGCAAGGCCTACTCCCTCTCTCCCTCCTGGGCCATGGGCACAAACACACTCCCTGTGTACCTACTATCTCACAAATAAAGTAACAAGCCTCCAAAGCCTTATCATTGCTCTCCACTCTGCAACAATGTGACACAACCAACACATTTACAGAAGTGGATTAGTCTGGGAAGTGATGTAGTGGAGGGAGGATCCATACACAGCTTTAAGAAGAGGTATGATAAAGCTCATGGGGCAGGAAGAGTGACCCAGTAGCAACCAGTGAAGAGACAGGGCTAGGAGCTATGACTCGACCCCTGCAACCACAACCAGGCGAGTACAAGCATACTTCACTATCCTGGAGAACTCTCGTCCAGGTGATAACTCAGCCTCGTGCTTGACGGGTTCTCAAAAATCTGAGTGAACATAACGTACTTGTGGCTGGTTATGAGGGTTCTAATCTAACAAGTCTAGAACCAGGCTTCCTTGTTAACTGCTGTGGCAACCATACTGTTGCTGTTAGCAGCCTGCAGGCCCACAACAACTGCATATTGCCACTATTTAGAGGTACAAATTAAGCCTCCTCAACATCTACAGTATTGTTCCAGCAAAATTATACAACATCCTCTATACAATACTGTATACATTATACAGTAGCTACTATACAGACTTCTGAATAAAAAAAAACATGTCCAGAACAAGGCATCAAAATCCCACACTTAAGAAAGAAACCTCATGACATCTGGGTCCATCTTGTACCAGCATCAAGACCCAACTGTGCGTGAACAATGGTCCAGGATGAACCCAAATGTTATCAGGTTCTCTACACATACGCTGCTATGTATGATTATTCTATGTAACTGTATTTGTGTATACCTGAATAAACTTACTTATCAGTACAGGATTTTAATGAAATGTATACAGTGAATTTACAAGAATATAATACGAAGTCTAAACCATATTAAACACCAGAAAAGTCATGCTATATAGAACATTTGATGACAGAATGATGCTTAAAATAAAATGTATATTTAAAGTGATCATACGAAGAGGTTATAATATTTAGATTGACAAAATTCAAATTCAGATTTTTTTGTTTCACGCAGTGTAAAATAACGTAGTTTACATGTAATAGAACATTGTTAGGCACAAAAGAATACCACTAACATGCAGTGTATTTCAGGCAAGTTAATGTCATTTGTCAGAACAGTACAAGGTAGCATTAACCCTTAAACGGTCCAAATAGATCAACGTTCAAATTTGTAGCTACAAAAGTAGATCTACCGTTTTTTACATATTTTCAAATACAGTGGACCCCCGGTTAACGAACTTTTTTCACTCCAGTAGTATGTTCAGGTGCCAGTACTGACCGAATTTTTTCCCATAAGGAATATTGTGAAGTAGATTAGTCCATTTCAGACCCCCAAACATACACGTACAAACGCACTTACATAAATACACTTACATAATTGGTCGCATTTGGAGGTGATCGTTAAGCGGGGGTCCACTGTATAACGAAAAAAAAAAGTAGACAAAAGTTTTTTTACACATTTTCAAATGTAAAGCAAACAAGATCTACATTTTTTTACATACTTTCAGATGTTGAAAAAACGTATATATACGTTTGGACCGTTTAAGGGTTAAGGACCAACAATTTGAAGTCCAAAAGGAATATAAACGCACAATACAATGACTGGAACAATATACAAATAACCTGCATAGGAATGACTAGTTAATGGTCAGAATGAGACTGAACTGTCACCCCAGGTTTTATTCTCCTACACGTGGGTTATTTGTGTACTGCAAAGCCCAGTCGTGTTAAGTGGGAGATGCTACTTACAATATTGAGAGAATTTATCCTCACAGGCATATAAGGATCCTTATTTACACAATTTTCTGGATCCATGGTGACCTATTCTTTCACTCAAACCTGTGCACTGCGAGTGTGAGCACTGAATAACGTAGTCATCGACCAAACAAGTGTACACTTAGACGAGTGGATACTGAATGACCAATTGTCACCACTAACCAAACGTGACCACCTACTGTGTGCAAGACAGCTATTACAGTGATAAACACACACACACACAATCTACACACACACAATCTCTACACACACACACACACACATCCTGGAGTTGCACCACACGCACACATCTACACATATGTATACTTCCTAACGTTCCTGTGATTCACACGGCAAAAAAAAAAAAAAAAATGCCAGTTACCAAATAATAACTTAGCAGCTACTGTTCTAAAACTTTCCAATGGCTGCTTTTAATAAAAATTGATAAGATACAGCTTGGTGCATAACAGTAAGAAGCTGATGTGGTATAGTGACAGCATGTGACCAACAGTGACAGGAGGCGCAGATAAGAGATAAACGTAGGGTAGGGAGGGTTGGAGGGGGATGGATGGAGGAAGTAGGTGGATGGAGGAGTGGAGTGTTATTAATACAGTAGAGTACTCTAATAGAGTCAAAGAGCTGCATTATTGTGTGGAGGTACAATGAAAGGGAGGGAGGGAGGGAGGGAAGGAAGAAAGAAAGGGAGAGAATACACATCAAATAAATGGTGGAAGAAAGAGTGGGGGCATATAGATGGGGATGAAATAGGGAAGAATGGAGAAATGCAAGAAATAGGGAAGAGACAAAGTGAAGAGAACTAGGGTGAGAGGGTAAGAGAAGGAATGGGATAAGGGGAGGATGTAAGGGGATAAGTGAGGGGAGGAACAAGGACAGAAGGCAAGAAGTGAGGGGAAAAGTAAGATTAGGGTAGGTAGGAGGTAAGAAAGGAGAAGCAAGAGAAGAATTAAGAGTGACGACATAGAGGACAAGGGGGAAAAGAACAGCAACTGTGATCAGCACCCCAGTAGCCAGATCCCAGACCAGGTCTGCTCAATCAGGCTATTAGTGCTAGCCTCATGCAGTCCTTTATAGGAACCACAAAACACCTAACTGGCAATCAACTTGAACCAGTTCCGCTATGAAGATCACTAAGAGTATTATTCATTTCCCTTATGTATGAAGGTGTTGAAGAGTCTTGGTTCCTTTACACTGTGTCATCAGTGGACTCGCTACACTTCCGCTTTTTATTAGCAGGAAATTTGTATCATTTACTAGCATTTTGCTCTGGTAGGTAGTACACGTGTATTATTCCAGTCCCGGTACTTTGTCTTTTTCTTCAACCCTTAAACTGTCCAAACGTAGATCTACGTTTGCACACATAGCGCTCCGACCGTGATTTTCTCCATGAGAAACAATGTAAAAAAAACGTAGATCTACGTTCGGAGCGCTACGCGAGCAAATGTAGATCTATGTTTGGACAGTTTAAGGGTCAATACATGCGCTCCTGGACTTACAACGGTTTGATTTACAATATTTCAACTTTACGATGGTGTAAAAATCAATTACTTCCGAGATGAAAGATAATTACCCAGAACGAAGGCAGCGAACTTAACTTTCATTCATTTACTTTTCAATACTGGTATTTAGTAATTATTTATTTACTTATTCAGCGAATAGTTATTTATTTATTTATTTAGCATATATTCAACCTGAAACATTTTTGACCTACGATGGGTTCATGGGAACGTAACCCCATCGTAAGTCGATGACCAACTGTAGTTTCAGTGTGCAGATTTGGAATCAGTTCCTCCAGAACTATCTGTGAATAAATTACAGGTACCATCCAACTTATGACCAAGCTTGGTTCCGACCAGCCGGTCGTAAGTCGGAATGGACGGAAGTCGAACCTTACTACTGAATATCATCACACTTTTGTAATGATTTTGTTTTATTGTTTTATTTTGGTATTTCATTTTTTCCTTCATTTTTTATGCTCTTAGCACTGTATTTTATACCAGTTGTTTATTTCCCAGAAATTTGGCATAAAAAACATGGTCGAGTGGTCGTATGTCGAGCAGGTCGTAAGTCAGATGGTAAGTGTATAATGAAGCTTTTTACCTACTTTCCAGGGAATACAGTTCAAGGAACTTTGATCATTATCAGTGGCCCATGGCCTGGTAGACAACGCTCCTGCTTCACACACACCATCCGTGGTTTGATCCCCAGCAAGGGTGAAAACATTGGGAGTGTTTCCTTACACCTGTTGTCCTGTTCACCTAGCAAGCAAGTAGGTACCTGGGTGTTAGTAAATTGGTGTGGGTGGCATCCTGGGGAACAAGACTCAAGGACCATAATGGAAATATGACAGTTTTCAATGATGCACTAACTTTCTTGGGTTATCCTGGGCAGCTAACCCTATGGGGTCGAAAATTCGAACAAAATCTTACCTTAATAATATACAGTAGGCCCACGCTCTATGGCGTTTTGCCTTACGGTGTTCCATTAATATGAACATTTCAAATTAAGACCAAAACTCTCTATACGGCTCCCCCACATGACTTTCTAATATGGTTACCGCAGGGCACCTGGTCTGTTTACATTCTCCGTGAGGACGACTCTCCATTATGTCCGATAACTTTCCAAAATTTCAAGTGGTTTAGTTATTTCATGTTTTATATATATGTACTCTTATAATTATACTTATGTGTACCTGTACCTAAATAAACTTACACACTGTGCCGGCGTGCAAGTACACATTAAAATCACTAAGAGCATCTTATTAGTGTTGAAGATGCAAACATTCCTTGCACTAAACATTTTCTCTGTTCATTAGTCACATCTCCAGACCCCTCGTATATTACGCTTGCTTTTCATTTTGAATTTTTATTTACACAAAAAAGATTCATTGCTATGCAGACTACTGCATTATTGTAATAATTGTATAAATAATATCAACAAATTTGTGAAAGCATATTATACCCACCAGTTGACGTGTATTGGACGCGTGATGTGATTTGTTTACTCATGAACATCGGCAAAAATCAAACATTTTTGCTACTTTGAGCTCGATTTCAAGGTATTTTTTGTCAGTAAACCATTCAAAATCATCTCTAGTTCTATAATATATTTTCCATTCTATTAAATGAGACCAAAAAAACAAGAATAGAACCATAAATATCACATGAAAATACACCGCAAAGTCGCTGCTTTAAACGAAAAATGGACGGAGTTTTTTTTTCTCATTATGCACTGCGTGCTGCAGGATTTTTTTTATACTACTCACACTGACCACTTATACCCATTCTCTCATATGTAGGCCTACCAGCCTTCTCCCGCAAGACTGGAAGCCGCTTGAACTTTGGCGTACAATTATGGGACCGACACTGGCTTGCAAACCATAACATTACGGGACCAACAGTGAAAGAGTTAAGACTACAAATATTTTAACGTAAGTAATGAGTGTACTGTGTGTACTTTACTTTTTATTTTTTTTTGTGCCTAGTTCTATTGCTCACTTAATATATGATAGTGTGAACATGTTACCAGATATTTATGTGTATTTAAAAGTGAAAAAGGGGCGATTCGCTTTATGGCGGCAGCCTGGAACCTAACCCGCCGTATAAACGGGGCCATCCTCTACATAAATGTTAGAACAGTGGTAACGTGAAACACATATACCTGTGTGTGTGTTTACGTTGTTGTGTAAACATTTTGTTAACAACATACTGATGACACTATTAGTGTGGGTATTGTGTCGCAGACAACAACTGGATGTATGTTCACCGTGATTTATTGTGGTCTCAAGGGATACAAAAGCTACTGGAAAATGTAAAAAATTATAAAACCCCAGAAAAAAAATACAAAAAGTAGAAATGTGGAGTGCATGACAACCGCCAATGTTGCCATCAGTGGATCACCGACCTTCAACTTCACGCCTCTGTGTCTCAGTAAGGACTGATGGGAAATTTCTTTTTATTCCTTTACCACCAGGAAAATTAACTATTATAAGAAGAAACAATTTTATTTTTTTTAAATCTGGACACTCGGAGTACATATTATTATTTCAGGGATCTGGACAGTGAAAGGGATAAAAAAAAAAACTAGACACTGGTAGCAATATTAATTTTGATCTGGACAGTGAAAGGGTTAAGAAGCACATAGGAAAGTAAAGGTATGTGCATAATAAATACTAGAAGTTTGTACAACTGACAAACTATGACTCACGAAATCGTAATGACACGGCTGCAAACAAACCAGAGGCCCAGTGGCTAACGCGTCAGTCTGGAGTTTGAAGACTCTCTAATCGTGGATTCTAACCCCACCCATGGTATGGTTTGACTAAAACTATCTTCCTGTATCTTCACCTTCTCTTACAATCATCCCATAAACTGAAGACTGAGTCAGTTTGAAACTCACTTAAGAAATCCCACTTAACTGAACACTGAATCACTTAATACATACTTAAAATTGTACTATTGTTCACTTAGCTACCTCACTTTTTTATACATTTAAAAACTCCTACTTAATAACCTATGTCTAGTTCTTAAGTAATCTTTAAGTATTAGTCTGTCAGAAATACACTGCATATTAGTGGCTTTGTACTTAAAAATATTTTGTTACATGTAAACTACAATACCTGTATACTGCAGAAAAGAAATTTATTATTTTTATCATTATCTTGTATGTTAATGAGGCAGGAAAGATCTGCCCAAGTGCAAGGCTTTTTTCAAGACTGTCATGTAACATTGTTTATACAGGACAGTAATGCCTCACTGGACGGCTTCTCTCTACCATAACCTACTCCTATAAAAAAAATTGACAGAAAATTTTAACCCGTAAACGGTCCAAGCAGATCTACGTTCACGTGTAGCGCTACAAAAGTAGATCTACGTTTTTTTTACATATTTTCAAATATAACAAAAAAAAAAAACAAAGTTTTTTACACATTTTCAAATGTAAAAAAACAAAAAGAAGATCCACTTTTTTTACATACTTTCAAATGTTGAAAAAACGTATATATACGTTTGGACCGTTTACGGGTTAAATGGCAACATTTTCGAAGATGGTACTTTTGTTACAAAAAATGCGATGTCTATTAAACAAAGACATCTCCATCTCCCACTGAGGCTGGGTGACCTGAAAAAAGAAACATTTTTCACCATCATTCACACTATGACTGATGATGCATATGTTACAAAAATCTACCAACTTGTTCCTCGCATAATTACAGTGGTACCTAGGGATACGAACACCTCAA